TGGTTTCTACCCCTCTCCAGCGAGTCGCTAGTGTTCCCGGCCCGCCAATGATAACACTCGATCGAGCAATCCCATACTCTCGAAAATTCTGACTCCTTAGCTTTTTCATGCTCAATCGATAGTCCATAAAACGTTAGGCTATTGATCAACATTTTATATTTTTTCATGAAATGGTGAGAAGTTACAGGAATACCTATTTTAAGATCTTCCATTCATCGGATCAAAATCGAAAAATCATCGACGATACGATAGTGTATCCATAACCTCGTTATCTCACGTCTAGATATTCTTGTCAATATAATCAATCAGAATTCTATTTTAATAGCATTCGAATTGAAGTGACATGAGAATTTAGATGGAACAATTATACGTCGCCTAAAGCTAAGAGAAAATTGCGTCCCATAATCGATGTTCAAGATTATCCATCTAATTTTTGGAAATTTGACATCGATTTCCAATTCTAAAATATCTTCTGTCTAGGATCGTTGCTTAATTGTTATAATAGAGGATTTTTGCTGGTCCCTGTTTCGTTGGGATTGCGTTCGATTTTACAAATTCATCTGTAAGATACATTTATATTTGCTTGAAAATTCATTATTTCTGACGACTATGAACAATCATATATGCACACAGGACATATAAAAATATCTCCATCCTATGTTTATGCATTTCTTCACTTCTACAATAGATCATCTTCATCATTCATCATGTTTGTTTTTGTTCGTATTTATAGATCGTTTCAAATTTGGTCAATACTCTTGAATGGTATTGTCGAAACGCTTTGATCGGCCCATCGGCTGACACCATCGCACCTAATGTTTTTGCTCCCATTTCTGCAATATTTCGATGAATTCCATTAAGCAATAACATATCTTCGTTGACAATTTTGTCATTGAGTCTTTCTGAGAAATAATCATAGCCAGGCATATATTCGATCCATTTGTAATTGGCAAAATTACGATAGAATTGCATCATGAGACGCATCTTCTGTTGGGCACTTGGTAAAACGAAAAAGATTTGAACGAAAAGATGTCCCGCTTTATGTCCATAATGATCCAAACGAACAAAACAAGGTGGAATAAAATGCACGTGACTGAATGCAGTCGATGAAAGTGGTGATGGTTGTTCATATTTTTCGACTTTGAATGATACTGATTCAATATTCAATAAATTATAGGGACTCGGTGTGAGTGCTTCGGATCGAATGCATGACGCTTGTGAACGTTTACCAATCGTTCCATCGTGTATAAAATCAACATGAGCTATATCGAGTGCATTGTCGATCATGAGTTCATAGGGAATGTTAAGATAACACGAGTTTTCTGATGTCAAAAGAAGTTTATCCTTTGTATTTTGAACATCGGCAAAAAGACGATGTGGAACCAAATCCATGTGAGCTCGTTCTGATTTTCCAGGCCATACCCAGATGAATCCGTATTGTTCATGAATTGGTCGCGTTCGAGCAGACACGAATGAGGCCATATTTGAATCTTTCGATGCAGATGGAATATGCACACATCGTCCATTGGCACCGTATTGCCATCCGTGATAGATACATTCGAGATTGCCCGCTTTTGTTATTCGGCCCAAACTGAGCGGAGCCGATCGATGTGGACATTGGTCAAGTACACATACGACCTGTCCATCCTTGGTTCGATACAAACACAATGGTTCGTTGAGTAGATGAAAACCAAAAGGTCGACTTTGATCACAGGTGATTTCATGTGAAAATGCTACAGGATACCAATACAGTGAATGATCCAATGGATCAGGCTTAGATGTTGGTGACAATGACGAAGATTTATAAGGCTGAATTCGATGACGAGCACCATTCCGTTGTTGTACTCGACGATATTGCTGCCGAATAAGCCATGAAAGGACGCCAACGAAAGCTGTTGACACAGAGAGAAACGGAACGAGCATTGTGAGCAAGAAAAGAAAGAATAAAAATGCTACTTGCACGTCGACGTGTGTATTTGATAAGGACAATCATAATGTAAGAATGACTATGTAAAAGGGAGTACAAAGTGTAAATTTCTCTAAAAAACAATAAATACTTGTCCCAATACAACTGAAAATTAGGGTAAATCGATTTGCGTCAGAAATGAAACAAGCTTTGACTTTTTTTAATCTATTCGATACACTGTTTATATTTCAAATCGATTTCACGTTGCTTTTGCATAAGTATTCACCGATTACTATCCCGGGTCAATAATTCGCGATCGTATACGTCCGTATACCAACCAATTACAACAAAAAACGGCAGACGTTTACGATCGCTATTTACAGCAATCATAGACGATGATTTACGGCGTATTACGACAATTGTAAACAATGACCGTAAAAGGTCGCTGTTAACAGGTAGCGTAATAATGCAACAGTTGTAAACGACGATCATACAATACCATAAGGCATCGCATACGGTACCTGTAAACGGTTTAAGAAACAATCATTGTTTTTTTATCGTATCTGTTCATAAACAATCGTTAACGTTGGCCACTTGCTCTCACTAAATATAATCAAGATATATTAGGTGGATTCAATCTCTTTACTTGCTAGTTCTAGGCGACATCTATCGTTCCACGCTGCGTTTCGTGAGTTGTGAGAAGGCATTGCATTTAAAGAGTAAAATTCAAAGGTGAATACTTTTATTTGAGGTTCACAGTTAACTTCAAAGGTGGGCATTGGATTCCTCGTATAGGGAAGGACATAAACCATAACATGCTTTCCTCAGAATAACAATCGTCGGAAGTCCAATTTCATTCCTCAATCACACACCCAAATTCAAATTGCGGCAAAACTACGTTCTTCTTCAATCATGATAACTATTATAACAGACCTAAAGAACGAATAAGTTACCCGATCTTAGTATAGATTGATAACTAAGGTCACATAATTAGAGCATTTAATTACATGAGATTCAACAAGACTGTTCTCGGTAATTTTAAGGAATTGCTAGGATTCAAGGTATAAGGGTAAAGATAAGGGTATAGATACAAGAGTATCGCAATAAGGGTATGGTAGTAAGCGTAGAGTGATAAACGTATAAGCATGATGTACTGAAAAACATCCGAGAATTGTATGGCATGGTACTTTTTTCAGGAACGACTATCAGGACAATAGTATTTTTTTTACTACTCTGCAAAAGATTTAGCTTTGGGATGAATAAACAGTTGCGTAAGCGTCACCAATCTAAAAAATAGTTAAAATCTTTCAAAAAATTTGGCTACTTTTCTTTCCAAAGAACGTGATTTTGAAAAATCGTCGCTAGAGTGGCAGCCTTCGACGGCAAAAGCATGCAGAAAATTTTCTGAATTAGATGTGAAAACATTTTCTTTTTGAAAAGGCTACAAGACAAAGTCGAATTCTCTTTATAAATCTGCAAGTTTTCCTGTGCAAAATTTATTTTGATTTTCCTATGAGTTTATGGAGTTGTTTCAAGCCCGACGTTTTGTGCAAAAATTGATCAGAAACAACAAAATTCTCGCGCATTTTAAACTACAGGAAAAATTAACATCAGCTTTAGTGAGAAAAATGTTGATTCTCTCCCCATCTTGGCCAGTTCTCGAGACCCTAGATTGGAATACGACATTTTAGGACATATAGAACCGCGAAACATGAAAGTTGTCTAGTGCTCGCAAGTACTAAGAAATAGAACGTTTTTTCCAAATCAGCCTGTAATACTGTTGATTGGTATAGATAAATTCAGATATATGACATCCAAAGATTCAGAATGTACATTTGTGTTGAGTTTGAGATTAATGAGTAATTCTTTTCGGTTTTCATTACTATCATCATACATCATCTGTAATAGTATCAATAGCATACGAACAGTTCCAAAAGGCTATTTATTATGAGCAATATATGAACTTGGGCCAACATCAAACAAATTATACAAAATTGATCCATTAACTGGAGAGTTTACTCTATTCACTCTTTTGAGTGATTAGAAACCTGATGATGTTACATATGATCTTATTAATAAAATACTTTATGTTTTTGTTAGTGAAGCAGCGGTAAGACGAGAATCATCCCCACTTCAAAATGACACACTACCGACACATGTGTTGGCACAGAAATTACTCAAATCTTAGAATAAAGAAATATTTCGTTTGCAATGTTTAAAAAATTTTGACACATAGCGACACGCTGGTGTAACATATGTTACACAGCATGACACGCTGGTGTACATGTGTCAAAGCGTGGCAGTACTTCATGTGTCATTTTGGTTTTTTAAATGTTTTGACACATGAACTATTGTCACGCTTTGACATATGTACGCCAGTGTGTCATGCTGTGTGACACATGTTACGCTAGCGTGCCAGTATGTGTCAAAATTTTTAAACATTGCAAACGAAATATTTCGTTATTCTAAGATCTGACTAATTTTTGTGTCGACACATGTGTCGGTAGCGTGTCATATTGAAATGGGCACCCACACCCTAGTTTTTCATTGATTTCATCGGTGACTGCTGTCCAACAACAAATTGCCAATCAACAAGAACGAAGAACTCCATTTTGGTCTTCAATTACACAGACAAATGGAACAATAACAATGTTTAACAGTTCTCAACGATGAATATGTACAACAATATTTTTCTTATCGTCAACAATACTTCCAACAACAACAATAAATGATGAACTTATTAATAAAATGCATACTAGAGAACATGAAGAAAACGACGTTCGACATCCAGCATAATTAATTATAATTATTATTGTTTATTCATTGATGTGTCTTTTAATAACAGTTGGAAATCTAATTGTTATACTTGCTGTTTCTCTTGTACGAAGATTACAAACAACATCAAATATACTTATTTTTAGTCTTGCTGTTAATGACTTTTGATTCGGCTTATTTGCTATGCCATTGGCTGTGCGTAAGATCTTTAATAACTTATATATAATCAAAAAAATTTATTATCTATCTTTTTCTAGTGCTTGAAATATCTAATAATAAATGGATATTAGGTTCAATTATATGTGACATATAGACATTAATGGATGTTCTTTTAGATATTTCATCAATATTCAATTTTCTTGTTATAGTAATTGATCGTTATTGTATTATTAATTATCCATTTAAATATGCTTCGTTGGGTAAAATTAAATTACTTGCATTCATGATATCTGGTATTTGGATAGTTAGTGCACTTATTTCAATACCATCCATCCTGGGCTGGGGACGTATGTATCAAATAGTTTTTTTTTTTCTATACAGAAAGTTACATGAAAATCTCAAGAGATTCTCCCATTAATTTTATTTAAAAATTAGAAACAATTTTTTCTATACGAATAGAAGCTAATTATCTAAAACGATAGTTGGATTTGTCATAGCCGAACATATATACAATTGTTAAAAGCAATAATTAACTGTTTATCGTGTTGTTTATTTTGATTTGAGTGTCTCGGTGTCACCTAGTGAACTTTAAGATTGACCTTTTCTTTTTTGGCAATGGACGAATAAAGTTAATCGATCTTCTCGCTAGTCTCACGTGCTCATCAGACTTTTCCAAAACAAAGTTTCTATATAAAATTGTATCGTCTTAATATTAATTCGATTAAGTTCTTTCTTTTTATTTTTGAAAACAAAATGCGTCTAACAACAATCCATTTTGCTTGAGGTCCATCAGATAGTCTTCCTATTTGCCAAGTAAATCCAATATTAGACTATCAAATATTTGCATCGATGCTTTCATTTTATATACCCATTATTATAATACTAATAATCTATGTTAAAATCTATCGAACAGAAATGGATCGTCGATCAAGTATTCAAATATCTCAATTTTTAACAGACAATACTACATCAGCAAATGTTGAACAAGCATCTGAAGTATTAGATAAACAAAAATCAACCGAAAATAGTTGCTCATCTCATCATTCACTTTTAAATGTGTCTAATGCAAATACGAATACTAATCGTTCTTCAACATGGTTAAAACGTTCAGAAAATAGTCAAAATCATCAAGTTTTGTATCTCGAAAAAGATGTTTAGATCACTATATAAGTACACCAGTTAATTGTTGTTTATCAATATTTGTTTCACGTCGTTCTTCAATATCTCGTCATGTTCATTCACGAAATCAACAAGCAATACGTACATTTGGTGTAATGCTAGGATTATTTCTTATTTGTTGGCTTCCACTTATGTTATTTGCAATAATAAAACCTTTATATGAAAATATAACAGGTCCATCGAGATCATTAAATGTACCTTCATGGGTTTATTCAGTTTTACTATGGCTTCCCTATGCATTGTCAATGTTACGTCCATTAATTTATGCTAAATTTAATCGAGAATTTCGAACATCATTTCATGAAATAATTTGTTGTCATTGTAAAGATTTAAATGAAAAAATTCAACAACAAGAATATTTAGCAAATTCATACGGAGAAAATTAACTAAAACTACCATCGCTATGTAATATAATAACATCTACAAGAAATAGTGACAATGTTGAAGCAACTACATAATACAATGTAATACACATTTAAGGATATCGAAAAAAGTGCTTTTATTATGATAAAGACATATGATAGTGAACATATATAATCTTCATTGACCAGTTTCCCTAATTAATATATCAATCAAGATGATTTTTTTTTTAATTTTTTTGTTTCTATTAATTTGTGTCTCTTTTTTGCTTTGTTTTGAAACTTTTATTTTATACTAATGTGTTTGGGTGTCCCTCTTCACTTATTCAATTACCTATATCAGACTTACTGAAACATGTCTTCAATTAAAACCAAGTAAGAGAAATCTTAATCTATATTTGAAATGTAATGAAAGAGTCTTTCTGATAAAAATAAAAATAGTTCATATTGGATTCTACTAGAACATTATAAAAACCAAGTTTACCATTACGGGTCCAATCAAGATCTATTCATTGTCCAGTCTTTGAACATTGGTATTGATTTTTTCAGCAAGTTCATTGTTGACAATATTTTGATGATTTTTCGGCTGTTGTTGATAAATCTCAGAAAGTATCATAATGGTTTCGATAGGGTATTACTTATCTGTAAGTAATATATTTTAGAGTTTGTATCGTTTTTCTTTCTGTTGTCATTACAATATGATGTCGAAATAGTATAACATTATTTATCGTTTTATTTGAAAACATGTTGTAGCGTAGAAACGTATGGATGAACCAAAGATAAATTCATCATAAAAATTGAAAAAGTCATTATTTTATGTAACGCTATATTCTGATAGAAGATACATGGGTTTTTCACAGAATATTGTAATCGATATTTATGTCTTTTAGCACCTGATTCAAGATAGTCGTGTTGGTTTTCATCAAGTGTATGATAACTAGAATGACGATGTGTACATTTTCGGCTAACATCGAGAAAATTACAAGGATTTGTTGGGATTCATTGTGTGTATGCTTTTTGTATGATCTGTTCCTAATTCTAAATCAATTTGATTATTTTAGATAACATCTCGATAACCATGATATTTAACACCTTCCTTAATGGTATGGATTGCTGACATTTCAGTTCCAAACAAAAAAACGATCGTTTGTAGAGTAAAATGAAAAATAAGAGCGATAGCGATCCCGTGAATAACGAGTAACATTCTGATAAAACTACAAATAAAGTATGGGTATGAGGATTATATATGAACATCGTTGAATTCGATGCTCAAGCTCTGATTGTTAATGTCATAATAAATTACATAAAACGCTCATTGATAAAGTCAACTCTACATATGCTCAATTGTTATTTATACAAAATATATCAATTTATTGTTTTATGTCGACTTGCTCGATAGTTAACAAATGACTATACTCTCATCTAAACTTTATTTGTTACATGATAAATAAATTAATTGATTGACTCTTTTGTAATGAAATTTCTAGACAAGTTATGCCGATTTGTATTCTCTAAGGGCTACAGCTACAATGCGGACACTTTTTTTAACCAATTAAGGTGAAATGTCCGCAAAGCAGAATCAGGGGGTATAGACAAAAATGACCGCATTTTGAAAATTGTCCGCAAAGCAGAATCGAGACAGAGAATGAAAATGTCCGCATTATAGAATCAAGAAAAAATTTATTATGTGAAGAAAGAGAAAGATACAAGTAGTACGAGATGATTCAACAGTCAACTATGCTTTGGTTCATAATCTTCGTCATCTTTGTCAGATGTATCCAATATGTGAATGTATCTGTAACAAAGAGAACGTAGTCTTTTTTGATAACCATCTAAATCTAGTAGACCATTTAAATAATCTTCTTTTGCTTGTACTAAAATATTTTCATTATTTACTGAAGTTAACCTTTTTGGACGAGTTGTTCTTTGTTGTGCGTGTTCCTGTTCTAATCGAATCATTACTGATTATCGTCGATAGAATCGATTTGTTTGTACTAATTTTCTTACTATTTCTACTTTTTTTTTGATTCTATAATGCGGACATTTTCATTCCCTGCCTCGATTCTGCTTTGCGGACAATTTTCAAAATGCGGTCATTTTTGTCTATACCCCCTGATTCTACTTTGCGGACATATTTTTCCTCCAATTAAGAAAAATCGCCCGCAATCAAGCAGACACGTCTCTAAGATATAGAAAAACGAGCGTGCGCAAAAGATTATATTCTGAAGTTAGTATAACATCAAAGATAAGTGTTTATATCTTTTTGTGGTATATGATTTATGAATATTTTCGAAAGTTTTGTCGATTTAGTGTGAAAATGTTTCAATTGAATCATAATATTTCGATCGTATTCGCATAGGTTGTTCATAATAAACTTGAACAAGACCACGTTTTAAAAATAAATATTAAATAAAAGAGTAGCAAAAAAAACAATAAACACCGATTGCAGTAGAGTTGCCTTGGATAATGCAGATCAAAAACTTGAAGTTTCATTTTGTTTTTGTTCATTCTCAAAAATTTTACCTCATCAAACGATCATTTTTGAATTACAATTAGTTTAAAGTGTTCCCTACTAACTGACGGACAAATTTTTGAAAAATAATGTGCTACAAATTATTAATAAAAATGGCAAAATAGGTATCGGTCTAGTTCGAGTTAACTCACTTGCGGTAATTCGGATTACTCCAAGTACAATTCCAACTAGTACTTCTGAGAGAAAAGTTGTTCATCTCTCATTTTTCTATTACAGTGTGAAAGATAATACAGAAGTCAACGTAACCGATCAAATATTCTCCTACTTAATGAATTGAGAAAAAAAAGCACTCTTTTATAATACATCCCTTCAATTTTCCACAAAATGTTTCAAAGTCTAGAACAGACTTTAAAAGAAAAAAAAGTTGAGTGTTCCAGATTTAGAAATATTTGAACTATAAGATCACATACAAATGTCTTCAAAAGAAAAGCACTCGGTCTAAGAAATTCTGAGGAGATTGTTATCGAAACATGATTTTCGGACTTTTTCACTTGATATTTAGTAGATTTCAGTCATAGGAGAGTTTTGATGATATACAATTTTCAGTAAACCCTGAAATATACTAAAGGTACGTTTATCAACGAAAAGAAAAAGTTGTCAGTATGGCCTCGTGAAAAACCAAAGTATGGAACTCACAAACTCTGACTATTATAAATGTATGATATATTGTCAGAGGTTGTAAAATAATCTCTGAAAATTTATCATTTCAAAAATATTTGCACTAAGAATTACTCTTCTATCGATTTATGTAACATAGATATACTATAAAAACTCATTTTTATTGTCGAATACATCTTCCATGTCTAATTTGTTTTCCTCCAATGATAATATATGTGTATGCATGATGGATACCATACGAAGTGGCAACTAGAATTTTACTCTTTGTTTTATTGTTTCAACTATCATGTTAGACCAATACAAATATTGATTTAACTGTGCTTTTTAATTCATAGTTTTGTATTTTGGTCTTAATTTGACGTCGCTAGATTAAAACCAAGACGACCATAATGATTCACTCTTACAATAAGACCCTTTCGCTGCATTAAAAATAGAACCCGTTATATTTAATCTAGTTAGCATCTATAGCGTTTCAAAATTATCTAAACTCTGATATTACTTATGCACTTTTTATCTTTTCTAAGAAAACCTAAACAACAATCTACAGCTTGGAAGAGCCGCAAAAACCTCAGTATAAACGTACACTCACTATTATTTTCGTTTGAGAATATACATAAATGCCACAAAGTAGTTTGTTTGTACTTAAGTACAAGTACCGGAACAAATATACTTGTGAAAAGACTAGCTATCTTGACTTGTCATTTATATTTTACAATACTGAACACAAGAGAAACGTATTTACTGATACTGAAAATGAAATATCGTGTGTGTATTGACATAAAAAGTTTCTTGTGATTAGATGTGTTATGGTTATACAAGATAGTATGATTTCAACTGTGTCGACGTTACAAGAAGGCTACATTACTAAGGAATATTTTCTATTTTGCTGTAAGTGTGTTTCAAAAGAAATTCATCTCAGATTTCTTTTATACTGAAGTTCAATTCTGCGCCATACATTTTTCAAAAATATTCTTTTCCTCTTTTATAACTAAATCACACTTGCTAGATGCACAACACAGAAGAAAAAACTTGGTATGATTGGTGTTTTCGAGAAATTTTTAGTGAAAACTGCAAATTCTAGTAGCTCCAATATTCTTGAAAGTTCAATATTTTCTTAATGTTGTTGCTATTAAAAAACGAAATGTTTATCATGCAACATATAGAGATAATAAGAAAATTATTCAGATGTAAATATATGTCACAGTTGACATGAAAATTCAGTTTAGTTGGAAATGTGCGAAATACTTAAAACGATAATTTCATCATAGAAATAGATCGATAAGCAATGAGAGTTTATTTATTTGAACAAGAGTTTACAAAACAGATTCATATTAAACACAGCAATTAAAAAAAAATGTTTTTGTTTTTGAATTTTTTTATTTTACTAGTAAAGAATCAATGATTTTTGTTGCTTACATTTCAGTTTATTGAATGCTCCGTTATTTTGATTACTAAGAGTCATATATTAATTGATGTTTATTATTGCATTCAAATTTTGATATAAACAGAATATAAGATAATTACTTGGTTTAGACTTATTCATTGCATCATTTTGAACATATTTATCTATTTTAATGACAACCATAATGTGTCATATACCATCAGTTGCTCTGTTTAGAGAAAAAACTTAAGTTTCATTTTCATTAATACTTATAATCATTTATTATGCTCTCATATCGTAATAATAAGGCATATGTATAATATAGGGCACTTTTATTTTTCAAAATCTCTCTCGCACTTAGTCCCTGCTTGTCTTACATTCGATTCAATCATGTTAGAAAAATATGAAATATCAATATTGAACTCGAGTTTTTAATATTTAATTATTTATTTGAAAATTCTGCATGAAAATCGTTTTACAACAATAACTTGAAAT